AAATAAAAATTTTTTTATTTTTCATTATAATTATATTTTTATATTTGTATATATTTTTAATATTATTATAATCAGATATAATAAATTAGTTACTGAACTCTTTCCATTGATCCTTTTGCCAATTCAAAAAACAGATATTCTTAAGACTTTTTGTCTTTATAATAATAAAGTCTATACACTTTCCTTAATAATATTGGTCTTTAACTAGTAGAGTGAGCAGAAACTACTACTTGTTCTATTTTTTCTATTCAAAACATCTTTCTTGTTTATTTTGGCAACTAAATACAAGAAATCTACTTAAAAGATCTATAGCAAGAACATCTTTCTAAAAAGAAAACTGACAAGAAAAAATACTTTCTAAAGACCTTCAAAAAATTCAAGAATCCAAAGAAACAAGAACAAAGAAGCCTCCAGTCTTTCTATTATCTCTTTGGCTTATCTTTTCTTTTTTCTCAAGCATGCTTTCTTTTTTCTGATATTTTTGAAGAATTTTGTCTACCTTAGTTTGACTCTGAATTTTTGGTTACACCAGATCTCCTGAAAGATAATTGATCAAGACCATGGATTGGTTGATTACATCAGCCTCAGAAAAAGTAAAAAGGATATATACTTCTCATATATTTCCAGTTGCGCAATACCAAACTGATTATGTGATTGGTTCCTGAAAGGGTTGGACAGTTTTTAATTAAAGGAGTAGTATAGAAGTATTGGATGAAGTAGAAGTTGTAAATAGAAGAGAAGTGATCCCTTTTTGTTTCTATCTTTTTATTTTCTTTTTTTTTCCTATTCTTTCTTAAGAACAGAAAGTAACAATAAGGTCTAGGTCCTATTCCAATCTGGTAACAAGTTGAAATACTGATATTTATCCTAAAAATGGTTAAAGAAAAGGATCTTGAAACTATCCACCAGTTAAATAAAGCAATAATTCTAGAAAACATGGATTGAGAGAAAAATCAACAATAGAAAATCAACATTCTTTCTGATTAGAAGTCTTCAAACATAAAGTTTCAAGAAATGCTCTTCTGGAAGTGCTCTTAAATGTTCTTGAATATTAACTACTTCAATAAAAATTAAACAGTACTACTGGCCACAGGTGGTAAGAAGTAAGAAATCATAAGGGGCTTGAATTTTAAGTTTATTGAGATAACCTTTTCAATGATAGTTAGAATAGATGATAGCTTTTTTTTCTTTTTTCTTTTTTTCAAAAAATTTCTTTTTTATTTCTTTTTTTCTTTGTGTAGTTTCTACAAAAGGAAGGTAATACAATTTGGGTTTATAGTTATGACTATAAAAGTAATCTGCAGATTTTGATTCTATTGAAAGTTCGGAATTTTAATCCTATCCTTTAGGGGAATAATAAATCACTCCATAAATCATATTTAGAGGTTTTGGCTGTTGATGGGTGAGTTGGATTGAGGAAATTTGTACTTTGTATATATTCTCGTGTATGTAATGGTTCTTTATGATTTAATAAATAAATGACACTAACCTAATTGCAGATTAAAAAAAAAAGAAAAGTAAAATAGTATTTTTTAATATATATATTTTTTATTTTTTTATTTTTTTTATTTTGATCAACTAGCTGAGCCTTGCTATATTACACTTTATTATTTAGAATCACATATATATATTTATGTATTACAGGAATTATTACTATTTATGATCTAACTACAATATTGTATGACTATATCAATTTTATTCCATATCAGCTTGTTGCTGTCGGCATAGCTTCATAAGAGGTAAGTACCAAGGCTAATATGTCAAAGTTCTGTTAGTGTTGCAAATTATGCTAATCTGTTTTATTTTGGATTTTATATAGGATTAAAGGGAAGTTGAAATGTAGTGCACAAGAGTGATACCTATATTGAGTGAATAGAACCCTATTTGAGGAAATCTTTTACACCTTATACTATATTAACTCCTAAGCCACCCAGATAATTAGATCTTATACTGATTAACTATCCACAGTATCAGTCTTACTGCAGTGGCTCAACTCGAAAAGGCAACTATCAGAATGGTCCTGAAAAGAATCTTCATGATTACTTTTATAGGAAGAGACACTCTAAATATTATAGAAAAGAATTACTAAATTAATGTTACTTGAAACTGGACTCTTTCTTCACCTTTTTGACTATCTTCCAACAATTATCATAGTACTAACTATACATGTTGCTAAAATTCATAGATCCTTGATGCAATTGACGCAATTAATTGAGTCACTATTAAAACATATAAATAATTGAGTCATAATGCAATTATTTTTAGGATTTTGGGAATTGAGTCAACAGCAAAATAATTTACATCACTTGTATAGTACCAACTAGACGATCATTATACCATAACTCCTTTTATGACTAAGTCACAATCTCAACACTCTCTGAATCAGCTTCTTATAAGAAATAACACTTAATAAGTTATGGCACTAGATATTATTTTTAATCCAGTTCAATCATCTCCACATGGAGTTGAATTGATATTTTATAATCTGATCTGTAAAGTGCTAATCATTGCACTATTGACCCACAGGTCTTTTTTTAATATACTGTATATATATATATATATTTTTCATAATCAAACAAGTATTTATTGTGTTTATTTAATCATTGGAGTTGAAAATATACAAGTATAAAACTTTTATGCATAAACTAATCTAATACTTGAATACATATATCTAATTGTTAATTTTTAAGTATAATCTTAAAGATGAGTAAAGTTGCTCACTCATTTCTTTCATTTCTAAAAGGATTTGAGTTCATTGCTTGCAGTTTATCACTACAGGTCTTTTTTTAATATATATATAAGTTATATAATATTATATACGTATATATATATATATATATATATATATTGCAAATAAATATCATTTCTTTATTTTATTTGTATATAATAAGGTATATATTATGAAAGAAACAATATCTCTTATATGTTAATACAATAAGTTAAATGCTAGCTTGTTTATAATAACCATATGACTAATATTGAAAAGAAAGTTTAAAACAATATATTTTATCATATGGCACTGAACAGCTATGAATACCTATTTAATATTAAGAGAAATAGTATTTGGAAAAGATGATACTAATTTTTGAATACATTTGTCATAGTTATAATTATATTAAATAAAAGAATTAGTGACAATTGTTGGTAGATCTATAATGGTTTTGTTTTGGATGTTATTGAAGTGTGAGCTTCTAGTGGAGGCAGTGTAATTTTTTTTTGGTCTGGTTAGATTGGTGGTATTTGGTGATTCATTTGGTTTCTATTTAATATCAGTGAGAGGTGAGATGTTGGCAGTATTATATCATGATTTTCAGATTGGATTAGGGATTCTGTTAATGTCTTGACCCAGTTGGTGATGTCTGTTATAAAAAAGATTCTATCAATTATGCCATATAGCAGTTCTACAACTTGCCATATATAAGAAATTGATTTGAGATTAAATATTTTATGTATATATATATATTATTAAAATGTTTTATATATAAAATAAACTTAAAATAAAAAAAAATTTTGTATTTTTTTTCTAGTTTTTTTGACAAATACTAATCTTAATTATTTAAGCTTTTAAGAATATTTTTTTAAAGATATTTTATATTTTTTTTTTAAAAAACATAAAAGTAAAAATAAAGTTTTTTATAAAAAAAATATAAATAAAAAAAATAATTTTTTAATAAATTAATCTTTATTTTTTTTTAATTCTTTAATAAAATTATCTTTAATTGTTATTATTTTATAATTTTTTATTAAAAAATTTTTTATTTTTTAAATTAAATTCAAATAATAATTATAATAAGCATATATATTTATAATTATATAAAAAAACAGTTTTTATAATATTAATTATCTTAAAGTTATTAAATAATCAAATATTATAAATAATATTAAAAAAATTAATTATTTTATTATTAAAAAGTAATTAAATTTTATTAGATAATATTTTAATTAATCATAAAATTATTAAAGAATATTTTTAATAAAATATTTTTTAAAAGTCCTATTTTTAAATATAAAATTTTTTGTTAAAAGAATTTATATTAACTTTTATATTTTTATATTAAAATTATAAATTATTAAACCTAATATTTAAAACTTGTGTTATTATTATAAAAAAATTTTTTTTTTTATTTTTTAAATTTACAAGTTTATGTTAAAATAATAATTTTAAAATATAAACTAGTTATAATATTTTAAATTAGATATAAAAATTTTTTTTTAAAAAGAAAAAGTTTTATTATTACTTATAATTATATTTAAAAAGTCAAAAGATTTTAAGCAGTTTTAAATAATTAACATATATAGTAATAACTTAATGAACCTATTTTCTTATAATGAAATAATTAGTAAATAACTAAATTATATAAAAAATATAATAATTTTAATTAAGTATTCAAAAATTATATAAACTTTTTAAAATGTTTAACTATGGAATAATATTTATATTATATTGTTATATTCGATATAAAGATTAATAAGTATCTCAAATTACAATTTAATTAACAATAAAAATAATAATAATAAAATAAAATATAATTATTTTTTTAATTATATGTACAAATATATGCATAGCTATTTTATTTCAAATATATTTATTTAAGTAAATAATTTTTCTTTTAATAAACTTTACTTGAAACTATTAATTAATTTTCTTCAAATTAACAATGTCATCTGTAATAAAAACTAAACAACACATTTGTAAATAGATAATTAATTAATTTTTTTTTCAAACAAGAGTCTATTTAATTATTTTCAATAAACTTATTATTAATTCTATACATCAAATCTTTTTTTAAATGTTTTAATACAATTTTAATTAGTAAATAATAATAATAATAATTGATAATGTTAATACTGTAATATACAAAAAAAAATTTTTTTTTAAACTTAGATATTTATTAGTAGCATATACATTATATATACAGTATATACAGTATATATTATAAACCTTGATTTGATTTATTTAAACATCAAATCGAAAGATTTTCCGTTATCCATGGTATATGATGGAAGAGTTGTTGAAAAGTGAGGGTTGGTAGGTAAGTGGTGTTGGTTTTAAACTCCCGGCTGATGTTCTTGACGTTGACTTTTATCGCGTGGCTATATAAACAAGGTACCTGAGTGAAGATGGTTTGGCCGACATAAGAGAAAACCTTGAGGTTGAACAACCTAGTTTGGGCGAAATCATCAAAGAAGCTCTGAACGTAACCTAGTGTTCCTAATTTCAGTTATTGAATTATTTCAATGAATAAAAGTTTGTCGATTATGGAACCGCGTACCTCAAATTTCCATTACTAGACAGACCTTCGGAGCATTAGTCGAGGAATTTTACCGCGCGATCTGACAAATCAAAAATCGATAACTGGACCATTGGTTCTGCAATTATTGTCTATAATAAATTTATCCACTCCTGCCCAAAATCAACAAGTCACCCCTAGATTATTTCAATTAACATTCACTGACGGAGTAAAGAAGATCAAAGGGATAGAAATATTGGGTGAAGTTGAAGATGCGAAGTAGGTCATTCTTGAATGCTTGATTATGCATGCAGAAGTGTCAACGTTTGTTTATCCCTTTGAAAATCATAAAATCTTCAATAGTTTGAACACACCACCGGGCACCAAATTCCTGGTCACCAGTGAGATCACCCTCGAAAATAACTTTTTACATCTTGGCCCTGGGTTACTGAGGAATTTGGGCGGAGAGGTGGAAGAAATGATAAAGGAATGGAAAGTGGGGAGGGTATGTGTTGCGATCCAGAACAATCTGACTAATACTATTTACACAATTTATCTGTATTAACCTGGTCTATGGTCATCACGGATTTTATAAATAAGCAATTCATCACCCGTAGTCGTGCATCAGTCAAAAAGGATGGTGAAGTGAAAGGTGGGGACGATGGTCCACCGCCATTCGTGCCTTTCAAGATCAAGGATCATAATCGTCAAACGGTGTCCTCCTCCAGCAACGCCCGTAACGATGATTCGCGGCAAACAAGGGATCAACGCGATAATTCAAATCAAAACTCCCAGCGGCATCAGAATCAAAACAACAGAGGTCGAGGGCGAGGAAATCAAGGGAATCGAGGAAACCGAGGCGGAAGGCAAAATCATGGTGATAGAGGTGGAGCTCGACAATTCAACGAAACGCCGACGTTCAATGAAAATCAACATCGTGGACAAAATAGAGGCAGGGGTAGAGCAAGTGGCAGAAACCCAAGGGGACATCACATGCCTCCGTCGACAAATCGTGGACATTAGGTGACAGTTGGTTATCGTGATCTTCTCCATTGATTATATATATTATATATAAATTTCATTTTGACCACTTGATGCATGGAAATTCTCGCATCCGTTTTGAAACTTGTGCTTAGTGAGAGAGAATTTATCAACATTATTACATCTTGCGCACAATTTCCCGGGTGATTTAACAAAGCACATTTTCTCAGTTTGGAGCAACTTGCTGCACCTTGAATTTCGGGTGAGCACACTTACATGAACCACGGATTCCGGTCATGGAATCGTTGCAAATAAAGTTAAAATGAAATGCCTCTTTAATTTATTTACCTTATCTAACTTTACACGATTAACCTTTTAAACAGTGTGAAACGTACAATGCATATTTATGTAATCAGAATCAGTTGCGAAGTCGTAAATGAATAAATAATAATTTTATTAGTAGGATTTCGCCAAAAAAAATTAAAGAGGGATTGGTGAATAATCTTTAAAGTTTGACCTTTTTTAACCATCCTGTGCTTACTGTTTAACTCACAGGTAAATGGTTTAATAAAATTACAATAATGAACGCTATACTCGATTTGCATTTTTGGTTGAGTCGGAACTTGCAAGTAACTTGATTGGGACATGAAGACTACAGTAATTATTCCAGATTACAGCAATTATTGAAATATTTTTAATAGATTGATTGATCTCACATACTAGATATATTAGATGATGCAGAATCGTCACCATAATGCGAAACCTGATGTTAGATAATAACAGACGTATATAAACAAATATGCAAAGAAAATGGATTATTAAGAGAGAAGATAAAAATTGAAAAGAAGTTGTATTTACGCATGTTCTTTGTCCTCCTGTGCTTTTTATAAAATTACACAATTCTTCTTGCGCTTTGGTACAGGGGCGGGACAAAGAACAGCGCGAATAGCCTCATCAAATACGTTTTTCAAACCCTTTTGGGTAAGAGCCGAACATTCGAGGTATCTCACGGCGGAAATATCCTTTGCCATTTGAAGTCCCTGAGGGTATGTAATAGGTGATTGAGATTTCTGGCGAAGCTTAATGATGGTTTCCTTGTCTTCGCGAAGATCAAGTTTTGTTCCAACCAGGATGATGGGAATATTTGGAGCATGATGAGTGATTTCCGGATACCACTGAAACAAAAGGGGATCGGTCATCAATTGATGCATACATAGAAAGAATATCCGGTAGAAGGAATTGGAAAAAAATCACTGTACACATTTCA